CAATCTTCATTTTAGACAGAACTTTGAGGTTATTTAGGACAGATATCCACTGAATGAGCAAGTCCTTTTTTCAGCCTCCCTACTAGCAATCATCCCCTGCTTGAATACTCCCAGTAACAAGCTCACCACCTCACTCTTCTTATCCTTACTCTTCTTCATGTTAGGCCATCCCTCCTTGTGCTGAATTCAGGCCTGCGTCCCCCTAGATGCAAGCAGGTTCTAACCATCCTGTCCCCACGACATGGTTGTTCTTCCCACATCTGATGATGATGGCTCTGCTTTCTCAGGTCTCTTCTCCTCCAGGCTAAGGAAGCTTCTTACCATGTGGGTTCCCCAAGTTATCAAAGGCCTTGCATCACAGTGCTCAGAGCTTCTGGCTGGTCCAAAGTACTAAGTTCAGAGGGACCAAGGAGTTGACCTTGAGGGATAAGGCAAGGAAGACGCTGGGAGACCAGCCTTCTGGGGGCCGCTCCTGAGCATCGGGCCCTGCTGCCATTCCTGGACCCATCTCAGTGCTAGAACTGGAGGCTCACAGCCTGCTGTCTACTCAGGGTGGCCTGGGTTCATCAGTGGCCTGTAACGTGATCCACAGGCCCTGTGAGATCCTGCCTGCCCTGCACCTCTGCCCAGGGCACCATCTGTCTCTTCTCTAAGATCTCAGCTTATACTCCATGTCCCCAAGAAAGGTCCTCAGCAGATTCCCAGGTCCAGGGCTGCAGCTCAGAGATCCAGTAATCCCACATAATTCCCCACCATGGTGCTGGCCATGCCGTATCACAGTGGTCTCTCTTCTGTGTCCCGCTAGGCTGTGAGCTTTCCAAGAGCAAAGACATTCTCTGCCTGTGTCACCATTCTATCCTCAGAGCCTGCCACCATGCCCACTCCTTCCATGATGTTTGCTGGTTTAATGAATGAATGAATAAGTACTTGATTTGAAAAAATCCTGATTGATGGGAAAGATAAGCCAAAAAACACCCCTCAGAAAAGCTCTAGACCTGAACCCAACAGACAGAGGTCTCAGGCAGTTCCTCTGTCCTTCACAGCCCTCACCCAGGCTTCTCTGTGCAGATGAAATTGCCAAGGCTTATCACCACTCGGTGTTGACCCACAGGGCTCCCACTGCCCTAAATTAGTAGTAACTAATACTTGAACTCTTAATGATCTCGATTATGATCACAATGCTAACAGTAACCACTCACTGAGTGTCTTCCACTTTCATTATGACAGCAGTGCTGCAAGGCTGGTTTTTATCCCATTTTATAGATGAGGAAACTGAGGCATGGTCTGCAAAGCCATCTGCCCAAAGCCACTCAGCTTGTGTGCAGTGAAGCTGAAATTCTAGCCAACTCCTCTGGCTCCATGGCTCTTACTACCATCTATGTGCTCCTACTACTGGCTGTGGGACCTAGACATGCTTCTTTTTTCCCCCAGAAGATAGGGGAGCAATCAGAAATGATAATGTTGGGGAAGTAATGTTATGATAAAGTCCGGGGTGCTCTGAGACTCCAGGGGAGGGTCCCTGCAGACTGGACCATCACCTGAGGAGACTGCCATGGGAGGGGAAGCCCGAGTTACATGTTTTCTCTTTTTATTTTTCTGCGATTTTTAAAACACAGAGTCAGTATAGTCTCATAGACAAATAAAGCAAAAGCATCCCTGCCTCCTTCTTTCCTCCCCTCTAGAGGTAACGAGAGTTGAGAGTTTGAAATGTACCTCCTAGACTTTCTATGCTCATATATACGTGTAGTGGTATGCTGGTAGATGTTTAACAACTGACGGTGATGGTGATGGTGAGGATAAGTGCCAATTTCCGTGGTGTAAATGCTCCCCCCATGGCTGATTTCAAGCTACTAACATGAAATCACTGAATGTGCAGTTGGGAAGAAATGTGCAATCACAGCTATTGTATGTTCTTTCTACTATGCGGCTACAGTAGGGGCCAGTACCCTCCAGAGCATAGAGAATAGTCAGTCAAATGTAGTAAAATAACTGAGAAGTGGGTAAGTTTTGAGTATTTATTGCCTTTTAAAAATGTATCATTTACTGACTTGTAAGCTTATGTCATTGAATTTTTAATGGCTGTGTTTAACAACTGGTTCACAAAATTCCTGAAAATTTAACAGTTGGCTCTCAGTATAAGCTGGCTCTGGCATAGCACTCATTTCATTTTTACTAAAATCTTAATATTTTGTAATTTTTTTCTTCTTTCTTCCTTCCTATCTTCTTTCCTTTCTTTTTTCCTTCCTTCCTTCTTTGCTTCTTTCTTCTTTTCTTTTTTTTTTAGAAACACGACCTTGCCCTGTCACCCAGGCTTGAGTGCAGTGGCACAATCATGGGTCAGTGCAGCCTCAAACTCTTGGGCTTAAGCAATCCTCCTGCCTCAGCCTCCTGAGTATTTGGGACCACAGGCATGTACCACCACCCTTGGCTAATTCTTTGTGGAGACAGTGTCTTGCTGTTTTGCTCAGGCTAGTCTCAAACTCCCTGGCTCAAGCAATTCTCTGACCTCAGCCTCCCAAAGTGCTGGGATTACAGGTGTGAGCTTTGCACTCAGCCAACTTTTTCCCTTTAACTTGCTTTTTAACTAAAAGGCTCTTCATCCAATCATTCATCCAACCAGTATTCCACCATATGCCATGCCTTCCCTGTGTTAGGAACCAGGGCCACCATCGTGATCACAGCAGCCACATGCTTTGTGCTCATTAGCTTACGGTCTAGACAGGGAGCCAGTCAGTTACCAAATTGGCAAATAGGTATCAACAAAATGCTCACTGTAATTAGGCCTCCTAAGGGAAGTTACAGGATGATATAACAGAGATGATGCCATGATAGGCCGGGGATATGGAGGTTGAGGTGTAGCAAGGAAGAACTTCTTTAGGTTCAAGACTAGGAAAGGCTTTTTCTGTGGAGCTGACATAATCTGAGAACCAAAAGCTAAGAAGGGATCACATACTCAAAGCTTAGTGGGAAAAAAGTTGGAAAAGGATATGTTTACTTGGGTGCCATTTCCGTAAACTTTACGCACATGCAAACAGTCCTGTGTGTTGTTCTTTGAAAAGTCCTTGTGTCATAAAAATGGAAAGGCTTCCCATCATCTCCAGGATGGTGGTTACTCTTGGAGGGAGGAAGGGAAAGGGAAGCTGGAGGCAGAGAGGTCTTCCACTGCAACCCGGCACTTTCTTGAAGCAAAAGGAGAGAGAGGCCTGAGACAAATATAACTCATGTTAATTTTTGTTGCTGTAGCTGGTGGGCACAGGGCTGTCGGCTGCATTCTTCTTTATAACTTCTGAATGCTTGAAATATTTCATGATTATTGTTATTTTTAAGGGTAGATAAAAGAGGCTCTAGGCAGTGGAACTGGCCAATGTTAAGGCTCACTCTCAGGGCACCAAGGCTGCAGAAAAGTGAAAAGGACGTGAGAGGCCCAGGGTAAGTTGGGGAGCACGCCTGTGGGCTGTGAAGGCTGTGGCCATAAATATGAGCTTTATTGTAAGTACAGCATGCCGTCTTGAGCTGGTGTGGGACATAATCTGATTTACATTGATAAAATACTTCTCTGCTGCTTTGAAGAGAATGATAGAGGCTTATGAATGGCACCAGGTTAGGTAGGAGTCTAGGCATGGTGTCTGTCCATCTGTTTCCCATTTCCCAGGAATTCTCCCAGTCTCTGCTTCACTGAGTCCTCAGGGAACCAACCCTGATCTAGCTCATGTGTACATTATATGTCAAGGTGTACATTATATGTCAATTATGCCTCAGTAAAGCTGTTAGAAAAGGAAAAAGAAGAAACATATCATTATGAAACAAAAAGAGGTAGGGTGAATGAAAGGATGGACCTGCAAAAAACTAAAAATTCTGGGAACGAAATCTATTCATCAAAATAAAGATACTCATTAAAAAAGAGAGTAAAGAAAGATGGAAACACCTCAGTAGATGGGAGAAACCCTGGAATAGACACAGCCGAAGAGACAATTAGTGGACTGGAAGAGAGTTCTGAGAAATTTTTCCAGAGAGTGCCCAGAAAGATAGAGAAAAATATGGAAGAGTAGTTAAAAGACATGGAGGAGAGATTGAGCTACTCTCATACCTGTTTAACAGAAATTTTACTGAATGAGAGGGGAGAAAATGACTGAGAAGCTGTTACTTAAAAGCCTAATGACTGAGAATTTTCCAGAATTGAAAAAAATATAGTCTTGGAGTTGGAAGGTGTTCATCAAGCAATAAGGAGAATTTCAGGAAAGTAAATCTCCACTTCAAAACCACGTAGCAAAGCTGCAGAAAATCAAGAGTAAAATGAAAGTGTTAAAATTTACCACAGACAGGATTACCCACAAAAGAGCAACATGAAACCGACAGTTGTTGCTTTTGCGCCAGTGGCAGTCTTTTTAGTAATCTTCAGAGTGCTGAAAGAAAATAAAACTTAGCCTAGAATTTCATACCCAGCTGAACTCTGATTAAAGAGTGATGATGAAATAAAAGAGAAAGCAGCCCAGCTTCAAACCCTGAGGCTCTTGAACATTTAGAGGTTGGGGAGAGGAGGAACCCTCTCAAATCACATATGCTCAGTCATCCAGCAGTGGCCTCTGTCTCCCACAGAAACTGTAAAGAGAGAAAGATTTATTTAGTCTTTGTAGTTGCAACTGGAGGCCAATGGAAATGCCCCTTGTCAGCCATGTTGCTGAGTATTCCATCAAGACAGAGGAGGGAGGTGGTCCCATCTGTCTGCTCCCCATCTCCCAGGAATGCAAAACACGTGTGAAGGGCTTTGTGTGTCTAGGAGGATGGGCTCCCCAGTGTCTCTAGGAGATTGGGAATGGGTGGAGGATAGGTAGCAGGGATTCTGAACCCAGCCTGCATTTCAGTTCTGTAGCAGTGGTGACATTTCAGGGGAAGGGGGTGGCAGCAGGCGGGGCCAGGCCCTGGGCCCTGGTCAGGAAGGAGCCCAGGGACATGAGAGCTCCTCTAGAATGGCCATCCTAGACTCTCTCTCTTTCTTCCAGATTGTGGACAAGAACAACCGCTATAAGTCCATAGATGGCTCAGACGAAACCAAAGCCAACTGGATGAGGTGAGCCCCACTCTGCTGATGTCCTGGGGGTCTTGCCTGGCCTCTGGAAAGGAGCCAAGGGAGTGTGTTGGTCCTATGGGATCTCCAGTGGTGGAGACCTCTGGAGGCCCAGAGACCGACGTTCACAGGATTTGGGACACATCTAGCTCTGAAAGGCCCACCTTTTCCCCTAGGCCTCCATTAGGGGGCTCTAGAGGACAGCCTGTGGCCAGGCTGTTGGGATGCAGGGACCCCTCGGGCTGCTCACTTGGCAGTGTGTCTGGAGGACCTGGGCCCAGGCTCCTGGCAGCATTCCTGGGGGAGGAGGGGGAGAATGTCTGTCCCCCACCTAGGACCGTGACCCCTTCTCAGAGTGTGAGAACCGTCCCAGTGCAGCCCCAGCAGTTCAAACAGCCTCCATGGAAGAGAGGGCTTCTGACAAAGTTTTCAGCTCAGTTTTTGACAGTGCTTGCTGCCTAAGTTTGAGTACTTTGAAGAGTGAACTTTACCCTGTTCCAGTGTTTGGGACAGAAGTTTGCACCAGAAGGTTCCTTAAATGCCAGCCAGAGGAGGCAGGAGACTGGCCCTGGCTGAGTTGAGCCTGGAACCACGGGTCCAGCGTGATGCTGATGGTCTGTGCCATGTGCGAGGGGCTCTGCCGGGTGGGGTTTGTGGACGGCGTGGGAGACCCGACATGCCTGGCTGCTTGCTTGATGGCCTCTTTCGGGGACCTAGGAGCACTGACTGGGGATCTGGATCTGGATGGGAGGGAAGGAAGCCTCAGATGTCTGGAGTGCGGGGCACAGCCACACCGGGGACCTGGGGCCCTCTGCTGGCATTTGTACAGTTTCATGACCCATGAGGTCTTGGCCTGGAGGTGGGATCGTGCTTGGAAAGAGGGCAGATGAGGACTTCCTAAGGGGGGCGTGCTGTCTTCAACTCTGAGACTTTCTGAGCAAATGAGGAGAAACAGGTTTGAGGTGGGGAGTGTGTGATGAGGGCTCCACTGCCTACCTGTACTCCTATCAGACAGCTCTGAGTGGCTGAGCAGCAGTTCACACCTCCCAGAGCACTTTAGTGTTCACCCTCTTATGTGTCGGGGCAGGTGTTCTCATTGCCATTTGATGGGTGCAGAACAGAGGTGCCAGAGACGAGCAGGCCCGCTGCCTTGCAGTATGGAGAACAGCACCCACTGCCCCCAGCCTCCCTGCACACAGCTGATCAGACACACCCCAGGGAGGTGGCTTGACACCCCCAAATGCCTTCTCTTCTTACTGCCACAGGGTCCGGGTCAGCTGAGCACTTGCAGTTCACCACCTGCCTACTGATCATCTAGTTCAAGTCAGACTGCGTACTGGGTACCAGGGTGGATCACGCAGCCCTGCCCCACCACACCCCCTGACTCATCCCCTGCTGGCCCTTCCCAGGTTCACACCTCCCACCACAGAGATGACTTTCCAGTGTAGTTTTTGCTCTGAGGCACGGTGTGCTGCAGGACCCAGGTGAAAGAGGAGGGGTCTGTTGACGTGGGCCTTCCAAGGGGCCAGGGTTGTGTCTGGGGACACTGGGGTGCGGTGTCTAGACAGGCTATAGGGTGGCTACACAGTTTGGAGCCTCGGCCTGCGCCGCTGTACCGCCTGCCCTGTGGCTGCAGCCTGGCTCCAGGCAAGCAGGGGAGAGTGTGCGTGTGTCCACTGGGGAATCAGGCTTTCTGTGCTGTTGCTTTTAAGGCGTCGGGAGCTTTGCCCATAGAGCTGAATCTGTTCTACTCTTTCACCCACCTCTGATCTTTCTCCTTGGGGACAAGGCCTTCCCACAGCCCCAAAGAAGGGGAGTTATCATCCGAACTAACTTAGCTATCCTCTGGTACCGCAGATTGTGACCTAATTGGGCTGGGGATGGGCCCCTGGCCTTGGTATTTTTAAAGCTAGTGATTCTAATGTGCCGCTAGCATTGAGAACCACTGCTGTGTGTGGATCTTCATGCCACGGTGGTCAAACTGAGATCCAGGGCAGGGTAAGGTCTTGCTCAAGAGCATGCAGTCAGGGTGGCAGAATGAGGATTTGAACTCCTGGCTCTGGAATCCTAGGCCGGTGTTCTTCCTGCTTGTGCACAAAGGACCAGGTGAAGCCTGGCTTCCTGGGCCTGGATGGGACTGGTGAGCAGGGATTTGGGGGGTTCCGCTACTGCCACCTCACTAGCATGGGATCTGTTCTATTCTGCTCCCAGCCTGTCCTGATTCAAGATGGCATCTGGGTAGTCACAGCCCGTGGGCTCTCGTCTTATGACTGCTCGAAGAGCAGGTTGGGTTTGGGGATGCAGTTTGTTGCCATGGAGATGCCCCTCCTGTGGCTGGAGTGAGGGAAAGCACATCCTGGGAACCCTCCTTTCCCTTCATGTCCAGTTTCCATTGGTGTAGCTCTTTCTGATCTGCAGATGCTCTCCCTTGCACTGTCATGGCGTGGCTTGGGGATGATTGAATGGACTCAGTTAGTTTCTTAACAAAATTAATGGTGGGCCAGGAGGGGAGTGGGCACTGTCGTGTTTAGCTGGCCTTTCTGACAGTACTGTGCTAGGTGATCTGCCTGTGGTCGTTCTCAACCGGGCACTATTTTGTTCTCCTGGGGGCATTTGGCAAGGCCTGGAGACATGTTTGGTGGTTGGGTGTTTTCAGGTAGAAGAAAAGGATACTGATAAAATCCTGCATCACACAGGACACCCCTTCCTTCCCCACAAAGAATTATCTAGCCCCAACTGCAATAGTGGCAAGAGTGAGAAGCTCCTCCTGATAGCCCTGGGCAGTGACACTAGAATTATCACCCTAGTTTTTTGGAGAAGGAGACTGGCTTCACACGAGTCCCATGTCTTGGCTCAAGGAGACTCAGTCTGTAGTCCCAGGTCTACTCCATGTCCCTGCCACCATCTTGGACTGGGCAATGAGGCCCCAGCCTTCTTCCCATCTTCTGGGCCCTGGTAATTTGGGTGCGTGACTGGGAAGGTGAGGGCTAAAGGATGTTGGTGCCGCTGGCCTTCCCCTCCCGGTTTCAGAAGAGTCCAAGAAATCAATTGGGCTCCGAGCTTTCCTCCACACCCTCATGTCCTCTCTTGGGTGAATTTTTTTTAACCTTTTATCACTAGTTAAAGGGTGACAGAGCCACGATGTGGAGGGATCGAGTTCCAAAGCCAGAGCAGGGACCACGTGGGATGGAAGGGCCATGCTGTGCCCCTTGCCCAGGGCCCTTGGCTGCTCAGTAGAGAGGGAATCCCGGATCCCCCTCGTGTCCACCAAAGTGGAACTTGTCTCGCTCTGGACAGTCGTGGGTTCCTCAAATTCTACCAAAAAGCCACAGCAGCCCACCCCACAGAAAAAGCACTCCCATGGGAGGGAAACCTGTTTTCCTGCACCTACGCAAAGGTGGGGGCTTGGAGAACTGACCGGGAAGGGGAAGGAGAAGGGGGAGATAGCCGCTGGGCAGAATAAGCTTTCGGTGGCCACACGCTAGTCATGGCATAGCTGCTGTACACCCCATGGCAGCCCATCGTAAACCGCCTCCCTGCTTACGTATTCTTCTTCCGAGCCACTCATTCAGCTATAGGGCTGTAGGTAAACATGGCTTTATAGAGGCAATGGTCTAATCCTAATTTTGATAAGATCCTTTATTGCTACCTTTAAGCGATTTTAAGCCCCTTACATCATGGTGTTTTTCCCTCCTTAGTGATAACCCCAAAGGCTTCTGGTTATTATTCTAGACAGGGAGAGTGAGGCAGGAAAGATTGAACTTGAACCGCCCTAGCTCTCACTGCTAGTAAGAGCTAAAGCAGGCCCTGAACCTGAGAGCTTCGACTCTGAGTCCAGTGCTCCCTCCCATGTAACGCCGTCTCTTCTTTCCACCCTCCCCTCCGAGGAGTAGTGGAAGGGACCTCTTGGTAGGAGGAGGGTGTGGTGGGGGCCAGGTTGCCCCAAGTGCCTCCTGGCTCTCCAGCTGGGGGCCAGCAATTAGGAAGGAGGAGGACCACCTGCGTTGCCGGTCATTTACCCCATGTGCTTTGTGGGATATTCAACCCAAGGAATGTGGCACACCTGGCTGAGCGTAAGAGGAAGCCCAAGTTCTCCAAGGAGGAGCTGGACATTCTTGTCACAGAGGTGACCCACCACGAAGCTGTGCTCTTTGGGAGGGAGACCATGCGGCTGTCCCATGCTGACAGGGACAAGATTTGGGAAGGCATAGCCCGGAAAATCACCTCCGTCAGCCAGGTGCCCCGCTCCGTCAAGGACATTAAGCACAGATGGGATGACATGAAACGCAGGACCAAGGACAAGCTGGCCTTCATGCAGCAGACCCTGTCGGGCCCTGGGGCTGGAGGCCGGGCCCCCACCATCGTGCTCACAGCCCATGAGAGGGCCATCGAGTCAGCGCTACTCACGGCCCGTGCAGGGCGTGGCTTCCCCAGGGCGGAACTGGATGGCACCGACAGCCCTTCGACCAGCTGTGAGTATCACCAGTCCCCTCGCCCCGCCGGCCCGCCTGCTCCCCAGCCTACTCTCTGCAGTCTCCCATGGACTTTCCTTCTGGTTCTCTCCTGTCCTTCCCTGTCCAGCCCACTCTTTCCCTCCTCCCCTCCTTCTCCCAGTTCTGTCTCCTCTCCATCCCTTTTTGTGCATTCATTCTAGAATATTTACTGAGCATCTCTGTGAGAGACCCATGCTGGGAGCTGGAAAGACAGCTGTGTGTAAACCCTACACAGGCCCTGCTCTTGGGGAGACCCTGGACTCTAGGAATAAACCAACTTTAAATAGCTACACGAGTAAACTGGTAGTGAACGGATGAAGGACACAGGAGTCCAGGAGGTCCCAAGAGCAGGGCTGACCTCATGAGCATGCGACCTGCGCAGTCACAGGGGCCGAGCTGGGTTTCAGGCTCTGCTGTCGCCATCTGGACATTCTTCATAGTTTTTGAGCCAGGAGCCCCACGTTTTCATTTTGCATTTGACTCTGTGAGTTACGTGGCAGTTCTGTCTGA